TTGTAAAAGTAAGCAAGATATGCAAAAACGGTAAGAGAGTTTTATATATGGTTTTAAATGTTCTTTCAAACGAGAAAATAAAAAAATATATTGCCATTTCCTTTTAATTGAAATAGCTGTATACAAAAACCTGTGGTTATAGAGCTTAACAACTGGACTAGTAATTTTTTTAGAAGGAAGAAGACATGATGCGCAGCGATACTGCAGAGTCCCACTTGCATAAAAACCTGAAACAGTTTGCTTTCTGCCTTAATGGTCAACCCATGTGTATTTTTGATGACCCTGCACATACCATGAGACTTCACCTGCAAGTACCTTTCCCTGGACACCACCTTGATCCATGTACTTATGTCTTCATAAAACAAGTCCATGAGTGCAGTTCGTAGCGCAGTTGAATGGATTTATAGTAATAGTGTTTATATTTAAATTTTATCAATTTTATTATTTTAAGTTGTATGTCATCCAAGCTAAAGCAAAATAGCGAGCAATGTGTTCAAGAACCTATTTAAATCCAAACCATTTCGTAAGAGTGGCAAAATTATCATAATAACAACAACACCACTCATGTTTTATCCAGAGCGCCGATTTCTAATTTTCACGTCCTCTGCCACAACAACGCGGTCGGCTTCAAGTTGGAGCATGCGCAGTTGCAAAAACAAAACTTTCGGTTAGCTTTTGACGTCCGTGTTGTTCAATCTTACACTCCAAAATTAATTATACCAATTTTCGTATGCCGTTCGTGTTGATAAAAATGTCGCTTACTTGATTAATTAAGTTCACTATTAGTATGCTTTGAAAGAGCAAATCTTATTTATTTCACTGGTCCGAATTTCAGCGATTTTCAACTTTTCGCAGGAATATACAGCTAATTGAAGAAAGGTTGTCTTTGCAAGTCTTAACTAGTTAACTCTAAGAGTGCAAAGCATAATGGGACCATCATTTAATCAGTTTACAAATCATTTATGGCGCCCATTTCTTAGAGACATGGTAAATATCTCCTTACGAGAACAATTCATTCACTAATAGTCGCAATATTCAACTACTGAGCTTGAAACTTGTACTCTCATTAAGCTTTGCGTGCTTAGAGTTTAAGGTTTAGAGTTTAAGGTTTGCAAAGGACAACGTTTTTTTGAATTAGCTGTATATCAGTTTACATTATCTAGTAGCAAAGACCATTTTGATTGGTTCGCTATTGGCAGGACAGCAATTATTAAAAGTGTGCGTATTTCAAAACATATAGGGATGACGGCAGACGCTCTTTCAACTAGCGCCTGCTTTGCAGGCTGTGGTCCTCATTTCCCATCAATCTAAGCATAAAACCGGTTCGGCAATCAAGAACGGTTTTTTAATACAATTGTACGGAAAATTCAAAATCAAAGAATTCGCAATTGCAATCACTTAATCTGAACTGTCAAATATACATTCTCGGATTAATATCTTCAGACTTACAAATTATTTTTAAATTCTAGATGGTTCGCTCGCATTGTAGGTTTCTCTATAAAATAATCGGTACTACTTGGAGTGCATTTGAAAGTATTTTTTACATTTTATTCCTTTTCTGCAGGAATGTTTTGTGCAAAACAAAGTATGCCATTTTGAAGAGACGTGTTGCATGGCAACAGAATATAATTCCACTCAATATTATTGCTTGCGCTTGATACCGGCGCCAATCAGTATTTTTTTTATTGACTCGCTCATGTCATTGTGATACAGTATGTTATTTAGCAATATGGTGTATATAGAAAATTATTGATTCTGGGCCTAGAAGAGTAGTCTGTAGAAACTTGTAGAGGCTTTTGAATTTAGAGCCCGAGTTCACATATGTACTTATTAAATTATTATGGGTCTCCCGAAAAGGTAGCGTTCTATTATATTTTGTTATATAGTTAGTGTCAAAGTTCAATTTTTCTGTTTGCCGATTGGTCAAAACAGTATCACGTGCCGATCCACAAAACGTCATGTTCACTGCATGCTTTGCTGAGTAGTCAACCGATCCACAATGAAACATTTATTGACCGGTCAATAATAAAATGGGTGCAATACGTATGCGTGTCAACCATAAAGTTCCAAAGTTCATTTTTAAACTTTTTATTAAACATTTACGGCGTTCCATTTATCCAATTTTGGGTTTGAAATTAAGTTCACTCCAATAACCGGTGAATTATTCGCACTTTTACACTTATATATACTATATAACAAAACACTTATTTACTGAGACTTCGGGAAAGCAGTGTGTTTTGTGGCTCCTCGACCGCCATCTCGGGCCCACAATACACACTGTTTCCCTCGGTCTCAGTAAATAAGTGATAAATGTATATTATTTATTTCTCCAAGGTTGCCAAGAAAAATATATATGCGGGTGAAGGTTGCCGTCCAGATGTCACAATATAAAGATCTTTGATTGGTTGGCTGGCTAAAATCCTGACCAATCAGAAAGCTTTATTTGTGACGACCGGACGGCAGCTGTCATCCCACATGCTGGTACATTTACTCTCTGGTGTTGTCCGATTTTTTTCTGTAATGAAACACAACATTTCAAATTGTCACTTGATTATTCCGAAATGTACTAACTCAAACTTTGAACCGTGGCAGCCAGAACGAAAGAGAGGAAATATCGGGAAAATATTTCAAATATTACTCTCACTAAACAAACTGGTATTTCGACGATGTATATGCCCAATCTAAATTTGATTTATTGTACATACTTACTAGTCACTGCATGTTTCAGAAAAATGTCTGGGCTCCATTACACATCTTTTCAGAACATAATTGCAAATGTTCCAGAACAGAAAATGGCGCCGTGTTACAGTGTAAGCCTGCAAACTGAGAAACGGCTGTGTTTGGGAATCGAATGCTATTGGAAGCGGTAGTGCACATTTCCGAGCCGTTCTAGAAAGATTTGTCGAACTAGGGCGCTTTCCATTTAATGGCGTGAACAGTCAGACCCGAATTATTATCCCTGTATCAATTAATCCTCGTGATCGTGCTCGTGCGCGGCGGGCGGGCGCCGCAGAGCTCCGTAAAATCCTAAGGATTTTACACTTTGTGATTGAAGTTCTGAGTAAAAAAACTTACAAAACATTGGCTAAAGTCTCCTGGATTAAAGATATAAGTTTTTTT